TCCCGCTCGCTGTGAAGCGGGAGCGACCTGCTGGCAGAGGATTCCGCTTGGTCTTAAAGCCTCCCTGGAACGGCTATGTTCACAAATCAAACACTTGTCAAAAAAGTATGATTAATTCTCAATTTAGAGTTTGTTATTCGTATGGTCTAGCTGTTCATACGGCATATGCCTTAAATACGGGACAAACTGCGTTCCGTATAGCTTTCATACGGAACGCTTCATTGATGCCTTAAATACGGGACGATTCCGTATTATACGGAACGGTTGGCAACCCTAGGCGTAGCTGAAGGTCAGAGAAGCCAGCTGCCCCGAGGTGCTTCCAAGTAGCACAGGCTGCATCACAGGCTGATGTAGGACAGGGAGGGATGTCCAAACCTGTTCCTGGAGGGCCACTGTCCTGCTGAGTTTAGCTTCAACCCTAATTAAACACACCTGAACCAATGTAATCAAGGTCTTCAGACTCGCTACAGTCATGGGCAAAAGTTTTGGAAGAGACATACATTTTGTGTTTTGCAAAGTTTGCTGCTTAAACTGTTGTGGTGTTCATTCACATTGTTTCTAGATTATTGTGTAGAGTGATCAGATGCATTTTAAATAATTGCTAAAAGCTTTATTGGCCAAAAAAATTAACTTTTCACAAAAAAACTAATTTCACTGTTTTTTTTATCCTGACAAAATGACCAGCTAACATTAATTGACTAATCATATCGGCAGCACATGTGAAAGTGTGAATAAGTAGGCCTACTAGTCAGGTGAAATCTCTATCATACTAATTAGATTGTAAGAGCAGACTGATTGCTATAAAAAAGAGGGAAGAAACGCTTCTAATCGTTGTGTTCTTGTTAGCAATGGTTACCTCCAAAGAAACACGTGCAGCCATCATCGCGTTGCATCAAAATTAGTGATGGGAAATCGAGGCTTTCTGAACCGTTTGAGCTTTCATGAAATTGTGCCGAAAAACGGTTCATTACTCGAAGATTTTAACACAGTGCGCATTAGCGACATCTGGTGGTCAGACTTCGTTTCTCCACCAAATCTAACAAAACATCGCTTCGCAGAGGATGGTTAGAAAAAGTTTTTAATCTGTGCCAAAGCGTGTCATGCGTAGTCCAGTCAACGGATTCACATATTGATCAATAATATAAAATATACAAGTGTGTGATTTATAATTAATAATTGACGTAAATAGTAGCAAAAATATTTTGGGTGAGCTGTTCGGCAGAGGCGTCATGCCCATTCAAAGTGATTTGAATGATTTTTGAGCCAAGTGGATTTTGAATGCAGCTTCCAAAAGACAAAAAATAGCCGATTAATATTTTTTAATATTTAATACAATCACACCGGCATGTTAACGTTCAGTGCGTCATATCATCAGCTGCTGTCGCTGAGCCAGAGACAGACGCGTTTTTACAGCACTGCGCATTAACCAATCACACACGATGCTGTTGAGCCTATGTTTGCACTGATCAATCAGAGGTGTTCAGATGAGTCATCGCTAAAAAGCCGGTGTTTTCTTCACTCGCTCGCTGACTGAATACCTCTTTCTGGCGAATTTTCTCGTCAGAAACAACAAAGTGCAAACGTGTGTTCGAAAATGTAAGCTATTATTTTCATAGTGTAAACGGCTTCAGTGCTTTTAATGGGAGTTTTGGAGAGTGCTTGAACTACACTGTCTATAATGGTATAAAAATAATGGTTTATAATCACTATACTTGCATTTATGTATACTAAATTTTGCCAACAAAAGTAACAAATTAATCAAATAATATTCCTTACGGAATGACATGTCGTAAATGATCAAATATTTTCAAAATAAAGTTGAAAGCTGGGCATGATATGATCTCTAACAAACGAGCAGAAATCTAACCAAAAACTGGTTGAATAAGGACAACTCCAAAACAAATGAAAAAACTTTCTGTATGTAGACCACAAAATGTACAAAGCATGTCAATATCACAGTTAAATCTGTTTACAAGGAAATAGTTACTGGAGTAATATTTATAAATGAGTTTGAAAAATTTATTTTACTTTATTTGTAATTAAATATTTATGAGGTAATTTCCAAATTCTATGCCATATCAAACTGGTTATGGTTATCGGACCATTCTCTGTAAACCCTAGAGATGGTTGTGTGTGAAAATCCCAGTAGATCAGCAGTTTTTGAAATACTCAGACCAGCCCGTCTGGCACCAACAACCATTCCACGTTCAAAGTCACTTAAATCCCCTTTCTTCCCTATTTTGATGCTCGGTTTGAACTTCAGCAAGTCGTCTTCACCACATCTAGATGCCTAAATGCATTGAGTTGCTGCCATGTAATTAGCTGATTAGCAATTTGTGTTACCAAGCAATTGAACAGGTGTACCTAATAAAGTGGCCGGTGAGTGTATATATATATACTGTATATATATGCATGTATGTATGTATGTATGCATGTGTGAGTGTGTGTGTGTTATATTTGCAGCAGCAATATTTCTTACATGCTCACAGCAGCATGTTGTGGATGTATTGGCAGTAGCAAATCTCAGTACTTGCTCTGCCGCAGCAGCAGCATAGCAGATCTATTCCGCCAAGACCAAATACATTAACATTGTCATGTACATTACCATGCCAATCCCTCCGAGAGTCATGACAGAAATATATTCCTTTTTGAGAGTAAAATTTTTTTTTGGTATATTCTCTGAGATTTGAGCTTAAGACTTAAGCTTTGCTTGATTTTGAGTACAGGTAAAAATGGTTTGGAAGCGATTGTTTGATTTTGCCAGAAGAGTCAGGGATTCTGTGAATTTAGTTTGAAGGTTTGGATTTGTGTTTAAGGTTTTGAGAAAATAAGTGATGGTTTCAAGAAATATGTTTTAACAATTCAGAAAAACTGTAATGCACACTCAGTCCTATATTGGGCATAAATAGAAAAAAATTATACTGCTTGTTAAATAAATTCGAAGTAAACATATGATAATCAATTTCTCCCGTGTAAAGAAGTGTACACGAGTTGTTTTTTCCCCCCAAAGTGGATGCATAAAAGGCTCAAAACCTATTTCAAATTAAAGACATGGACTCCGTTTTTGATTTTACATACTTCCTGATAAAAGTTAAGAATTACTGTCAAAAGATTTTTATCATAACATCATCTTATGATGTACAGGTATAGGCTGCCTGTATGTTAACTAGTAACCCTGCAGTTTTTGTAAAACAGTAGTTTTATGTAAAATAAAATTAATGTTATCTTATCAAGATTTTTTTTCTAATAATTTTTTGTTAATTTGTTTTAAAAATCACATTTTAAATCACAAATCATAATTTTATTCAGAAGAATCTGTCACACTATGTTTGAGAAAATGCTTCAGTGTGCTAAATTTAAGTTAATTAAAAATAAAATTTTATCACAATGCTAAATTTGTTGCAATTCAAATACACGCAAGGTTATCTTATGAAATGGTGTTGGTCAATATTTGGGAAAACAATATCTTGGTTGTTGCATTAAAAAGACAGCCAGAGAACTATTTCATATTTACTTCAAAATTATAGCTTTAATTTTTATTTTGTTTTATTCATACCATATTTAAAGAATAGTGTTCCAACAGTCAATGACAACATGAAAATATCAGGTAATAAAAAAAAAAAAAAATCTTAAGTCAAATACATTTCTGTTGTAAAAAATACATTGTTCTATTTTCTAATTTATCAGCAAGAAATTACTTTTTGCGAGTACGTTTTATAACAGGAACTTTAATGGTCAGAAGTGTTGGGGGAAAAAAACAGTGTCTGTCAAAATTTAAAGTTGGAGAATGCAAAGTGGTCTTTCAGAATATTTAACTATATTACAAAGTATAGAAGTTTGAATTCAAAAGTATTAAGGATGACACACATTCCTCCTAAACACTAGATGGCAGTATGGCTCATTTATGCATTAACAACAACCTCACAAAAGCTGGCCTGCATTCATCTCCAAAAGCCTGTTTTATATAGATAAAAGTATTTTGTTGTTTTACCTGCTGGTATTTTTGTACTCAATAAAATATACAATGCAGTCTTGAGATTTAGTGTTTGCACATTAAACAAAAACTTTCTATTTTATGGTTTAATACAAATTACTATTTCATACAAACACATGGTGGTGAAATGAATTAATTTTGAATGAAGGTTGTTTTTTTGGCAAAATTAATTTTCATTATTTGACTGCATAACCAACAATGTGTGGCTTGATCATAAAAAACAGTGGGGCTTGGATGTGACGTAGCTGCAGGTCAGAGAAGCCAGCTGCCTCGAGGTGCTTCCAAGTAGCACGGGTTGCCTCACAGCCATCACCGAAATAGTACCTGACAAACATAGAAGTATAGACTTTCTTACTCTATAGTGGTCATATGCTTTGTTACAAGTATTCCATCATTATGTAAAATTGTTAGACTATGGTTTCAAAGCAAAAACAACAAAAATTCTAATCAAACCCTTCCTCCATCTCTGCCTGAATTGAACCCATGACCTCCAGTTATGGATGGGTGATTGAATGCATATATTTATGCAGACATTTCACCCACCCATGTTGTTTCAAAGCTCCATCATACTCTTTTAGCTTTTACATTTGTCACTATATGAAATATCCCCTAATTTTATTTACTCTAGCTTGAGATAAATAACCAATCTAATAATAAAAGTTATTCAAATTCAGTGGCGATCATAAGTAAAATATAATGGTGATTTTATAAATACTGTGTTTTTATATTACCAGAATGGTTGAAGAACATGTTGAAAAAAGTAAATCCAGCTTGAGGGGTCAGACACCACATGTTCGAGGAAGAAAAATGCTCCTCCCTAAAGAAAAAATAAATAATAATAATAATAATAAACGTTGTTTAGTTTAAAATATTCCAGCATTTCTAAACAGCAGCCTAATCTGTATGGTGACGTCAGCCCTAAAACAAACAGCTAATGGGTTAATCGCAGCAAACGGCGATCTACATGTAGTTAAGTAATGCTGTTACCTTTCATCTCAAATAAACGTAATGTAATCAATAATTACTCTTTGATGGAAAACGGCTTGGGAGAGATAAGAGACAGTTTATGAACTATCAAAGCATATTGGAGTTCAACCACCTAAGCACTGGCTGCCATAAACTTACAGGCCTCAGAACTCTCTTTGCTTCTTGCAGAACCTTCGGCGTATCCTGGACTGAGCACAGAACCAGCGTGCACACCACAACATCCACGGAGTTGTCCTCCACCGCCTTTAGATTCTCCCCTGACGCCACTATGAAGCTGTCATAAACGAGGTGGTCGTTCTTGGTCATACTTTTCTTCAGGTACTTTTGGAAATGCGGGTTGGGGTCGGTGCATGTGATCCTGCAGCCCGTCGGGTAGTGCTCGAAGTTCGCCCCGGATCCGCAGCCCACCTCCAAGATGCGCAGAGAGCCTTTCGTGGGGTAGAATTTGTCCAGGTTTCGAAATAGTTCCCTTTTGTTGTCGTTCATTTTGTCATTGTAGGAGATCGAGATTTTATAGACGATTAGAGGAAAGACGCGTTTGTAGAAAGATAAAAGTCCAATCACCTCCGCAATGTGCAGCGGTAGAGTGAGGACTTTGACTAAAAAAGCGCAAGCGTTCATAAACAGCGTCATTTTTAACGACAATTCTGACTGGAACACGAAGCTATATTTGATATACAAGAGGGGAGGGAGTACGTTAGCTGTTGCGCGCACCTTGTGACAAATGACCAATCAAAACCAACGTCTTTAACGCATGTAATCTACTCCAGACAGGCAGTAATCCAGTCTGTCACCAGATGGCGTCCGTGTATAAATAAGTGGATCCTTCTTTCTTTTCCTCACTAAAAGTAACCCTCGAAGAAATGAATAGTAGTTTTGAGAAATATGTACAAACACAAATAAGTAATGACTCGTTCAAAGGCTCATACCTAATAAAAGCTTATTCTACATTGAGATCACATGACCAAATGAACACCACTCTTTTTAAAAGACAGTGATGACGCGTTTCAACGGTCATCAGCATCGTAAATCCTCCAAAGTTTTTTAAATATTTTCATTAAAAACATTTATGTACATTTATAACACTACACTTTGTATTATATTACCTTTTAATTAAATTACAAAAAATATATATTTGTGGTAGTCTCCAATTCGACGACATCCGTTGCTGAGAAACCCGGAAATGTGAAAAAAAAGGGTCCATTTATCTTATTAATGGAGTTTTTGAAAGTTTTTCACAGAAAGAATCGGTGTGTTGTTAAACAACAGTAAAATCTATTGAACGCACTGTAATATACCTTAAGCAAACTTAGCTACTAAGTTACATAAAAATCTTATGTCTTTATGATTACTCACCGCCTTTTACTTTTAGCATATAAGAATACTGATTTAGAGCAACCCAACAAATAAGTTATAACAACTGAATGTTCTTAAACAGTAGGGGGAGCATTTCGTTTTATTTTCTTACAAACATTATGTAAACATTACTTTTAAATGACCACTGAACATTCTGAAACAAGTAGTAACATTAAAAAAAACGAATAAAAAACGTTTAAGGAAAAAAAAAAGTATTCCATTAATTATGTATAAATATTGTTTTTGTGCTAAATTTTTTAGAACATTTGAGACTAGATAACTTTGACAAACATTCTATTAATGTCACTAGAAGAATGTTTGTTCATAACTTTGAGAGAATCTAACCAGAATGTTTCTGTTAACTTGGTATCTATCTATCTATCTATCTATCTATCTATCTATCTATCATCTTAATGCAATTATCCCTAAGATCCTCCATGGTGACTGAAATTAGGATTTAGGGCTTTCTTACTTGAGATTAAGTTTACAGTAATATCTTTAGCTCCTGTAATACTTGCAGGCAACAGTCCCAAAAAATTTACACCGCAAACATAAAAATATACTCTGTTGTTCATCTGCTCTGCAGACAGTGTCATGTGAAGATGCCTCTGTGTCCTATTTGACTCACACACAAAGTGTGGCTTCATCAGCACCAAGGACAGTGGCCAAACGCAGACATGGCTGGTGGCGCATTGCACGGCAAAGGCTTCATCCACTTGGGGCTCATAGTGAGGACTAGAAAAAATACTCAGGTGGCCCAGAAGGGGGAGTTAGAGGTAGTCTAACGCCGTTGTTGTTTCCTTTCACTTTCTAACAGGATAAGAGGAAGATTAACTATTTAAAAAAAATTTGAATGAGATTTCTCTAACCTTGTTAGTTATTATGTATTTCGAAGACAGAGTCCATACTTTTTTCCAATCAATATAATCAACCACATTCTAGGAAGATTAACTATTGCCTGCAACATTTGACCATGTAGTATTTGCTTCCTCAACCACACTGCTTGAACCAACCCCACAAAACAAACAATGCCACAGACTAGTCTTGCACCGACCACTGCACCTAAAACGCCAAAGATACTTTTTCGTGCCCACATGTCCACATTTTGTGCCCACATGGTCCACATCCTGCATTTGCCCTCTGAATGTAGATATTTTAAAGGAATAGTTCACCCATTTGCTGAAAATGTACTCTCCCTCAGGCCATCCAAGATGTAGATTAATTTGTTTCTTCATTAGGATAGATTTGGATAAATTTTGCATTAAATCACTTAGAGAAAGCAAAAGGACATGTATTTTTGCTGGAAGCAACGGTTTGAAGTTTGATGTCTTAATAATGTATTTGTTGATTACAAACACGCAGCTTTTGCTTCACCAGATGTTAACTGATGGACTGGAGCCGTGTCAATTACTTGTGGATATTGTGATCTTTTTATCAGCTGTTTGAACTCTGATTTTGATGTCACTTATTCGCTTCAGAGCATCCGTTGGTGAGGTGACTGGTTAAGTGATGCTATTCTAAATTTCTCCAAATCTGTTTCGATGAAGAAACAAACTCATCTACATATTAGATGGCCTATATTTTCATCAAATTCTCATTTTTGGGTGAACTATTTCTTTATGGGACTTTTTGCTTCAGAGACATTTTAAAACATACAAAAACCTCAAACAAGTTTTTGTAGGAACAAGTGTTGTGTATAGCAGAATTATTCCAGGTAACCATAGTGAAGATATTGAAATGTGGCTTATATGTGCCAACATAGAAATATCACCATTTAATTTGAAAGCCAGTGCCATATGATGATGCTTGTTACCATAAATGACAGAAAATTTGATTCTATATTGTTTATTGTGTGTTCTGAAAGAACTTCCAAAATTTGCGAGTAGCCTATAGAATTTAATTTTAATTTCAAATTATTATTATTATTATTATTATTATTTTTAATCAAACAGTCCTGATCCAATTTTAACAATTTAATTTGAGACAGTTTAACAATTGTTGGAACAGAAATGAGAAGATTAGATTAAATTTACTGAGAAGTGGTAAATATAATTAGACTCACATCACTGTGATTGATATTCCCTTTTAGCGCTGTTTCGCTTACGATGCAGCGTTCTGTCGGTCAGTACGGAAGTCGGAAGTAGGGTACTTACAGACGCTCCCTAACAATTTGCTGAGAGTCATCAATTATGCAGGCTAGCCGTACGCACTGGGAAGGAAGATAGCGGCAACAATATGGCGACATCCGCAGTTTCTCCTGGGTCTTTTAAACATCCTTAGGCACGCAAGATCTACATGGATCGCTCTTAATGCGAAAAAGTAAGTAGACTTTCTCTTGTCTACAGCGCAAGTGTTGTGGTTTTTTAGGTGTTTATAGCCTGTTCTGAGCGTGTCTTATACCTGGACTCATCTGCCGCAGAGCGGTCTCTCGCGCTCAGCATCTTTTCTGCTCACAGATGTGGATAGGCTTGCTGCAGGAAACGCAGGAAAACGCCAATTAACACGCCAGACACTACTAACAGCTATAGTACTGTTCCCACAGAGGCTATGCAAAGGGGGGAAAAAAGTCTGATTGAGGTAAATGAGGGTGTTGGCCTGGCGCTGGAAACATAACATTAGTGTGCGTGTCGAAATGTAGAACATACGCATACCATGGGACAGGCAAGTACGACCGCCGCAAACTTTATTGCATGGGAATATTGTGCGGACAGACTGACGCAAGACGCAGTATTAAACATTCAGATATCAGTTGTGACTGTTTTGCCACGTAACATGTCAAAATCACTAATGTGGCAGTTTTTTAGTTCCCTTGCGCCTGCATTCCCCCTCCCTTCGAGTCACCCTCGCCATACTTCTTTGGGCTGGACTGCCTAGAATCGTTGCGTTTCCGTTTTTGCCTTTAAAAACGGGGACTACCACCCTCGTTTTCTCACTCACTCCTCCCTAAAGCGTTAGCGGCATGATGTGCCCGACCGTGTGCGCGGTTGCGGGTTAAATCAAGAGAGGACGGTCTGACTGCACGGGTGTGGTGCTGGAGTGGACAGAAGTCCCAGATGTTCTTGAAGTGTTCAGATGCGAATGCTGTTGAAACCTAGCTGGATAGAAACCCGAGACGTCGTAGGCACGACTGTCTGAGACGTCAGTAGCGTTCAGATTTAGATGTTTCACAGATTGATTCGCTGGCTCGTGCCTTTGCACGAGCTCCCCTCAGCTCCACTGCAGTATTTCAGTCGAGAGAGTGGGGCCCACGCGTGTACGGACAGATGCCATAATTACCGCAAACAAACTTGGGCATTCTGATCCGTAAATCCCATAACATGCAGCGCCTTCAAAAGCGCAAAACTTGTTAGGAGAAGAAATTGCATAATACGTGTGAGGGGCGGAAGTATGAATCAATTTAAGTATGTTTTTGCCATCGCACATGCTTTATGAATTATACTTGCTTTGAAATGATGAGGACCGTGTTCTAAATGAGGTGTAGCCCATGTTACTGTTGGCGTAACCAAACAAATATTAAAGGCAAAATGTGAGATAGCTAAATGTAGTCAAACAAGGGCATATCTGTGTGTTTATGTGTGTTGAAATATGAAAGACAGAGTAATAGTCAGATTTTGCGGCCTTTATTCTCCACACGGGATAGGCCGGCGAGGTTCGTCCTCGTGACAGCTGTGCAGCTTCCCTCTCCTCTCCTCTATGTACAGTGCCAGAGGCTGAGCATTCGCTTTCCATATAATTTAGTTAAAGACATCAAATACGGAAAAGTCGCTTTAGTCGGGATGTTTCATCGTGGCTTGAGGCAGCCACTTGAGCCCCCCCCCCTTCAATCACTTAGAGGACAAGCGTGAGCTCGCGCTGAGCGGTGCTGAACGGACAGCGCCGCTCAGACTCGCCATTCGACGGCATCTAGAAAACAGTGGACTTGTCTCGGCTTCCTGAAAACATACGACACTTCTTGCTTGATAAGGAATACCTTTGCGATGGTACGGGAACGTACAGTGTACCAGAGGAGAACAGGCAATGAATTTGCTTGAAGGCACGTAAGTAGCCTAACCTGTCGAATGGCTTTATGGATTTAACGTGTAGGTCAGGCGTTTTAACTTGGGGCAATCGAAAAATGGAGGACGTAGGCTACCATTTCTTTTTCTATAACCAACGTTGGCAAAACACCGTAGTCTATAAGAAAGAAAATGCAGTAGTTTTGTTCAGGTCATTGTGTGTATATACAGTATTGTCAGGGCCTGTCTATCTGATGTATCACCTTGAGGTGAGGCGTCTCTACAGTATCCCAGGAAGGAGACTTGGAGGTTGGACACAGTCTGCGTGTAACTTAAAACGCACATCATAGTGTTTACTCTGTATGTCTTTTGTCTACACACGGTCCATTTTTGAAAAATGAATTACTTTGTTGCTTTACCTAATGTCTATGGCAAGCTGGTTTAATAAGCATTCATTAAAACAAACTACTAATGCAATTAAAAATACTTAATTTAATAGTTAATTTTAATAACGGGTAAGTGATTCAATAGTGACTAGTATCTTTTTCAATTTTGCTATTGACTATTCATTATATAAGTAGTCATTATTTTGTTTCTAGTGGCTAACTAATAAGTTCTATTACCTAATGAATGAACTAATAATACATTGTACTACCTAAGGAATACGGAAACTGGATCATATACCAGCAATAGTTGGAATACTAATTGCAAATGCTACTATGTTCTGAATAAGTGCTAGTGAGTAACTCTACTTGTTACTATTGTAAAAAACAACTAGTGTCTAATGAACAAGTTTTAAATAAAACAAAGATTATTAAATGTTATTTGCCTCTTCTTAGTAATTATTTGTGAAATTTACCAGCAATTTCTAGGCGAAAATTGTTTCAAAGTCATTTTTATCTAATGAATACTGAATAATGAAAAATATGAATACTAGTCACAGTTGGATTGCTTTAAAATATAGATGGCAGTTAAATAATGCTAGATTACATGAATAAATGTTAAAAGTACTTGTTATAATATCTGCTGTAGATCAGGAAGCCTTTTAATGGTGTTTTAATGGTGACAAAGTCGCCCGTCATATTGAGCAGTTCTGCTACCTAATGAACAGTTATTAGTAAAACTGGATCAAGTACCAGCAGTAATATGGGGGCAAAAACAAAAGTGTTGCGTTTATAATTTTGTTCAGTATATATATATATATACTTTTAAACGGTAGTGCGTGTGTGTGTGTATTGTATACACACACACACACACACATACACACACACATTACTGTTTAAAAGTTTGGAATTTGGGGTCTGTTATTTTTTTTAAGAAAATAATATTTACTTAAGAATGCATTTAACAAAACAAAAAAAAAAATCTAATAAAATATAAATAAATAAACAAAGCAGCACAAATATTTTCAACATTGCGATAATATTGTGCAACATTGTTTGGTATTTGTTGCAACAGTGCAAGACCAGTCAGTATATACTGTATATATATATATATATATATATATATATATATATATATAATTATACATTTACATTTAGTCATTTAGCAGACACTTTTATCCAAAGCGACTTACAAATGAGGACAATGGAAGCGAAATTAACAAAAGAGCAATGATATGCAAGTGCTATAAAAAGTCTCGGTTAGCTTAACGCAGTACATGTAGCAAGGTTTTTTTTAAAATTATATAATAAATAAGAAAACAGAATAGAAAAAGAATAGATCAAGCTAGTGTTAGAGGCCTTTTTTGCTTTTGTTAATCATTTTTGCTTTTGTTAATTAAGTGTGTGTGTGTGTGTGTGTATATACTGTATACATATATATGTGTATGTGTATATATATATATATACACATACACACACAAACACACACACACACTTTTAAACGGTGTGTACGTGTGTGTGTATGTGTGTATACATGTATAGTACACACACACACACACACACACACTACTGTTGAAAAGTTGAGTTTGGGGTCAGTTCTATCTTCATCCATCCATCCATCCATCCATCCAGAAAGATAGATAGATATACACAAAAATGCTGGAATTTAACTAGATTATTTTACACAAAATTCACAAAAAAAGTTAAAAGTAAATTGTTTATCTATTTATAAGTGGATTTTGGAATTGGACAGAGTTGATCTCAAAATGACAAAATTCATTTTGTCGTATTTGTTAATTATCAGTATTCTCTATCCTATGGAGTCTTTATGGCAGTCTTTATTGACAGACACATCATGTGTTGTTTTTTCTGTATTATTTAGGTTATGAGAATCAGTCAGAAACAAGATTTTCTCCATCCTGTGCTATAGAGATTCATTGTCAACAGTCAGCACACACATACAAAAATGCATCTTTGCAATAGGAATTAAAGGGTTAGTTCACCCAAAACTGAAGATTCTGTCATTAATTACTCACCCTCATGTCGTTCAAAACCCGTAAGACCTTTGTTCATCTTCAGAACACAAATTAAGATATTTTTGATGGAATCTGAGAGATTTCTGACCCTCCCACTGATAGCAATGTAATTAACACGATCAACGTCCAGAAACATAGCAAAGAGATATGTAAAGTAATCCATGTGACATCAGGGGTTCAACCGTAATTTTATGAAGCTACGAGAATACTTTTTGTACGCAAAGAAAACAGAAATAACGACTTTATTCAACAATTCGTCTCCTCCGCATCACCGTAGCGCCATTTTGGAGAGTATCCACTGAACGCAAACAGCGTATGCTGTTCTGTGTCAGCCGCACAACACGGATACATTTTCTAAATTTATTTACGCTTTGATTTGAACGAAAACAATGTATCTGTGTGGTGCTGCTGACACAGAATAGCATACGCTGTTTGCGTTCAGTGGATACTCTCCAAAATGGCGCTACGGTGGCTGACGAATTGTTAAATAAAGTCGTTGTTTTTGTTTTCTTTGCGTACAAAAAGTATTCTCGTAGCTTCATAAAATTACGGTTGAACCCCTGATGTCACATGGATTATTTTACAGATCTCCTTGCTACGTTTCTGGACGTTGATCGTGTTAATTAAAGGGCTGCACGATAAATCGCATGCGATATTTAATGCGCATCTTGTCAGTAAAGCCGCTTCTGTAATCAGCGGTAAATCTCCATCACGTGCGTGCTTTCACATGGAGCAGCATTTACTACACAGAGCCGTTGTTCACTGACAAGCTGCGCAAAAAAATCGCGCGATTATGAACGTGATTTATCGTGCAGCCCTAGAAAGAATCCTCCATTTTATATTGTCTGAGAATAAAAAGCACAACAGTCATAAAGTGTTTAATCAGCATAGTGTGTCTAATGTATAACCTTAGTATAAAATGAGTAAAGTGGAGAGTTTTTGATATAGTCATTGAATATGTCTGAATGTTTAATATGATGTTTGTTTTTTTTGGAATGGGCTTGATGACATCATGGACTGGAATATTAGTTAGATAATCCAGGTCATCACAGAGGGTTGATAAGGGCAGTAATGCAGTTATGACCTTACCCTCTAATGTACAGTCTCTCTGTCTCTCTAATGCACACACATGTACAGGTAGAGCCTCCAGTGCTGCAGTGCATTTGGTATTATTCTGCTTGGTCATCTACTTCTTAATGGACGTAATGAATGTGTGTGTGTGTGAGTGTAAGAGTGAGAAAAAGAGCAAGAGGGAGAGCTTTTTGTTTGTTTTGTTTGTGTGGAATTATTTGCTTTGTTTAACATCTTTTGAATTGTAATTTCTGTTCTTTTTCTTTCCTCACTGTTCCCTTTCTGCATCTGTCCGGGTACCTCCCTCTCCCCTCCTTTTCCTAGAGCTGGCTGTCCTGAATGGCTTCTAAATAAAGAGGACTCTGCTGCAGGATGACAATATGGCTGCGCAGCTGCTTGCACCTCCAGGCCCCAATAGCTTCAAGAGGTTCACCCCAGAGACTTTGGCCAACATCGAGAAGCGCATCGCTGAGGAGGAGAAGAAGCAGCCTGTTAAGCCCAGATCTGACAGCAGTCACCGCGATGACGATGATGACAACAAACTGCGACCCAACACTGACTTGGAAGCGGGGAAAGGCGTACCCTTTATTTATGGGGATGTACCTTCTAACATGTTGGCTGTGCCCCTGGAGGACTTGGACCCCTTCTATTTGAACAAGAAAGTGAGTGAGCTTTGAGCCCATATCATCCCTGATAGAATTCATCTTCCATGCAGGTGGAAAACAGTTTTCCTCACTATGATGATTTAAGAAGTGTTCTAAATGCTTCACTCTCCAACATCTGGGAGAACTGAAGGAAAGAGAGAGTGGTGGAAAGGTTTGGAAAAGTGCAGAGAGGATAATGAGTGGTGGCGATAGATGTTGCTGAATCAAACTTGCAAACTTATACATATGTTTGGATGGATGAACAGATTAGATGATATAGTTACAAATAAGCATGAGGAATTACAATTTCTTAAAAAAAAAAAAAAGTGGTTAGTAAAGATATTTGTTGAGATTGGTTTGTTGAAATTGAGGTTTCTCAACAAAAGTTCATTGACAACTAACAATTTGCAGTATTTTCTCGCCTGTATTTTGGGTTAAAATGCATGTAAAATGAAAGTTGAAGTTCACCCAAAAATGAAAATTCTGTCATCATTTACTCGCCTAAACCTGTATGGGTTTTGTTCTTTTGTTGAACACAAAAGAATATATTTTTAAGAATATGGGTAACCAAACAGTAGGTGGTCCATTAATTTCCAAAGTATGGAAATAAATACTATGGAAGTCAATGGGGACTGCAACTGTTTGGTTATCCATAGTCTTCAAAATATCTACTTTTATTTAAGAAACTCATACAGGTTTGGAACAACTTTTTGTTGTATGTTTCATTTTTGGGTAAATCTCTTTAAAATCACATAAAAATTTACATTTTAGATGTAAACCACATAAAATATAAATAATGTTAGCTTGCTTGATGTAATGTGATTAAGAAAGTCCTAATATTTAATTTTAACATTTCAATTTGAACAAACCCTCATCTGAGCAATTAATGGATATAAGGAATACAGTATATATAAAAAATATTTTTTTCCTTATTTGAAATGGCATTGGATCGTTCATACTGTTCATACTGAAGTGAATGGTTTGGTAAACTGTGATCTTCCAGTGTCAGAATGTACAATTTTCTCCTGATTTTAAGGCAAGCATAATTCTAGTGTGAACAAACATTATTTGTTTGTTTAAATGTTTCCTATTCAATATCAACGGACAGAGTGGGTATTGTTTATTAATTGTTTATTGATGTTGGTGGAGTCCTGGCCTGGAGATAGAGTTCTATAAGAATAGCAGTAACGAGGTGGAAAATTAGGTGAATTAGGGCATGATAGAGATTAAAAATTATATCTCAAATTTTTCAGGCATTTGAATATGTTCGATACTTTAATATTTTGTATTTGCTATGAGATGACTTGTATGTTTTTTTTCATCAGATATTCAAAATGTCTAAAGCAAATAAAATACATAAAAATGTGAAATAATCAGTCTTACAAACAATTTTTATTAACTAACTTAAATTAACTTTTTATTTATATGCACCAAATTAAAAATACGAAGTAATAAATAATATTTACATACAGTATTTTTTAATAAAACATTATGATACATGCAAAATACCAAATTTTTGATGGATGATGCAAACAAATCTTTGCATCTTTGATTTTTTAATCCATTCATTCAAACAGGCAACTAAAACAGAACTGAATCAATCTCTAATCAGCTCTAATGCTGTTTTTGCTACTGAAGTTTAAATCAGAGATGCTACAACATGTCTTTTTTTGAATTCTCACACTTGCAGGTTTTGAGATAAGAAAGGATTGTGAAATTAGTCTCAAAAGTGCATTCAGATCATTACAATATTCACTGCGTTGCACAGTATTCGCAAGTTTATATAATCAGCAGACTCATAGCAAATACAGAATGTTGCAAATATTTCATATATTGCCCAGCTAATGTAAACACTTTACAAATAATTTACAAAATTTTCCCTGTGTGTGTGTATTCTGCTTATGGTTAGTTGGTAAGAACTTTTCAGTGGCAGTGTGTATGTATGGGTAATGGAGCGGTGCACCCACATCAGCACCTCCTTGTTGGTACACTAGAGGTATGTGTTACATAACCGAGAACAGTGTAGCATGTGTTATACAGTGGGAGGAGAGGAGATATTTTTGAGAGAAAATTAGTAGAGGAAACAGAATATTGGTCTTGTCTGTGTTTTTATCATCTTTTGCACACTTTACCATAACCACCTCGCATTACCAGAAATAATGTGCATTGCTGACAGCGTGTTCCATCCAACATATTACATCCCCGTTTCTGCCCTCCCTTCTTCTCTCCCTCTTGGCATTGGTATTTTTTTGTTATAACTGCAGCAGTGGTATACTCATGCATTGTGGGGAAGGGTTAAAGTGAATAAAGAGAGAAGAGGAAAGCAGGGAAGAAGTGCAGAGTTGCAGTTCTACTGGTCCCTTGAGTAGTGGGGTGAAAGAGCCATTCAGAATGTCATGGGCGGATAAACCTACAAGAAGCCCTGTAGTCACATGTGTTTGTTTGTTTGTGACTGAGTGATATGGGATGCAGTTTTCTGATGGCAGTCATTGCACCAGCTGTGTGTGAGGCTTTGACCTCTTGAGACAGATGTAAAAAGTTATTTCAGGTCTGATAATGTAGATTTATTTTAATGGATGATTTAGGACTTTGATGAGTGATTATGTTTTGTTCATGCCATGTTTGTATTAGGGCTGGGCAAAAAATCGAATGCGATTTTCATGCGACTCTCATCAGTAAAGCCGCTTCTGGTGAATAGTAGTAAATCTCCAGCACGTGCTTTCAGATGGAGCGGCATTTACTACACAGAGCCGTAGATCACTGACAAGTTACACAAAATCGCGTTCAAAATCGCAGGCGATTCATTGCCGAATTTGTATCTGCAATGTATTATGTCGATTGATTAGCAGATAAATTAATTGATGGTTTATTGTTATGAGCAGTGTTGGGGAAGCTACTCCGAAACTGTAGCTTGACCAGCTACAAGCTACTCGTAAATGAAAGTAGTTAAGCTACATTCAAGCTACCCTTCTGAAAAAGTAGCTAGCTACACTACAAGTTACTATCAAAAGTAGCTAGCTACAATGAAACTACTTAACTTTTTTTTTTTTTATTATACATTTTTTTTACAATTAACATTACAAATAACTAAATAATTATTAATGAAGAATTATAATGACGTTATAAGTAAAATATAATGAATTTATAAGTAAAATATTTGGGGTTTAAAACAACATACTGTAATGCAATCATGATTTCAAAGAGTAGGGTGAATTCAGGTTGATTGGGACAATTTTCCAAGCCATTTCAATGAAAAAAGTGTCCCAATCATTTGATTTTGTAAACTATCTGATACACACAATAATAAAATAGGCTACTGTATAGTTATATAGTTATATTATCTTAAACTGACTGTCAGCATGCAAAATTGCTACTAATGTAACATCAATGCAAGAACAAAATGTATGCAACTTAAACTGGATACAAAGGAGTCATAAAATTTGATCTCCAACATTTGATCTGGAGTGCAATAAAGAAGAAAAAATAATCCGTTTTAAAAGGCTATTATTCACCTCCTGTAAGTGCTTTAAGTCTTCGACGTAGACCGCATTTTAATCTTTGTTTTGCATAAATTACACTGTGAAATATCCACTCCTGTACATCCTTTGCAATATCATCAGACGATCTCTTGTCGGTGGAAAGACTGTAAAGCCGCGCGATGCGTGATATCACAACAGATGGCGGTAATGATAAAATGTTGTTTGTGATCTAGTCAGAAGAAGACGCTGCATGTGCTGCTTCAGTGCATTTACAGGCTCGTGATTCGTCAGAACGCAAAACGGAATGTAGCATTTGGTCGCGCTACATCGCTACTTGCTAGAAAAAGTAGTTAGCTACAGGAAAAGCTACACTGTTTTAAAAGTAGCGTCGCTACTGAAAAATGTACTTACGCTAGTAGCGTCACAACTTGTAGCTAGCTACTCCCCAACACTGGTTATGAGTGACTATATTTTGCTTGTAACATATTTTTCTCTATATTATTACTCTATTTTATTTATTTTTAAATAAATAAAATCTCCTAACCTTTTTATTTATATATTGTTATTCCATTCCATTTGATTTGATTTATTTTATTTTATTGATTAGTAGATACATTAATGGATGGCTGATTATTATGAATGATAATATTTTGTTTATACCGTTTTTTGTATCTATATTACTTTTTTCATTTTATTTTATTAGTACATACATTAATGGATGGTATATTATTATGAGTGATTATATTTTGTTTATGCCGTATTTAACATATTTTGTATCTATATTATTATTATTCCTATTACTTAATTTAGCAATACTGAAAATATTATCAGTCTTGTCATTATAACTTTATTCGCTCTCAAAAAGATGGACAGACAGACAGATAGGTGCATCTTAGCGGTTCTTGAAAGTTGTAGATAAAGACGTGTTGGTTAGCGTTTGGATGGGGTGTTGGCCATTTGAGGCCTTACGGTAAGTGCATTCAGTGACGTTGAGTAGATCGGATATACTTGGAGTTAAGTGCGACAGTGATGCTATATCCAGTTTTTCCACTATTGAACCCCCCATCCCCCCCAGCAGATCCCTCAGCTCTTGTCCACATCTTCATGTCTCTCTGGCTCTCTTCTCTGTAGATTATGAAATTTTCAGTAGCTTTGCAGCATATCACTTATGCTGTCAGAAGGAAAGACCAATAGGCTGCATTGTGTGTGTGCAGGTGTTCACATAAGGCTGTGATCACATGTACATGACCATTGAACTCCATGTTTTTGTATCATGTTTAAGTTTTGCTCATATGCATCATCTGCAAAATCGCTTACCTTTTATAGACACAAGGACAAAGGGTCGAAGTCACAGTTGAAACTATTTGTTATGATCATGGATTATTCGGATGGGACGGTTGAGGTTATGCGGCTGGATGAGTGTGTTGCATGGTGATAAACAAGATGCTCATTAATATGAAGATTTAGAGAAGATTAGAAAGATTTTTAAGCCAGGAGACTGAGAGCTGCAGCTATGTCCTCAGCAACGAATGCAGCATTGTGAGAGTGGGAGCTCCCGCCAGCGGAGGAAGCCCACAGTCTGTCGCAGTGTGTGTGTCTGTGTGTGTGAGAGAGACTCTGGGGAAACCAGTGCTCAGTATTCAGTAACACATGGAGCCTTCTGGGCGGTTCACAGCTTTTGCTAGTGTGACAATCTTTGGGATTTTGTGCCTCAAAATGACAGCTGTCTTCAGACGGAAGACGCAGCGTTTTATGTCTAACATACGTTGTCTTTTAATTTATGATTTTGTTAAGCATGTTGTAGTGTTTGGCATGATTAAATGCACAGACACACACAGACAAATACAGTGAAAAAATAGACGGGGGTGGAGAAATAGAGAAAGATAGGGACACTCCGAGGTAAAGGTGCTCATTTTGTCCTCCTTCAGACAGCTGTCTATTTTTAATCTAATTAGATTTCAGGTAGATTCTCATCCGCTCGTCTCTGTGGTGTTTCCTTGTGTGTGTGTGTGTGTGTGTGTGTAACTGGAGTGGCGTTTTGTGCAACATAAATTATTCTATGTGTGTGATATCACAGGGCTGAAGAAATATTGTCTTAATCAGTATTTTGTCTTGTTTTTCAGTAAAAATCTCTAAAAAAAAACAATAAAATAATAATATCAACAATAATAAAAACTTACAGAGGTTCATGCTAAAAACAAGAAAGAAAAACTATTTACCAGGGGGATAATAAAAAATAAGAAAAAAGAATAAGAAAAATAATTGAAGATGTATAAAAACACAATTTTACTTCTTTGACATGAAGTCTGTATGTGTGTGTAACTTGGATTCATGTGGTTTTCATGATGAGTATGTGGATGAAGATTCTTTGTCTCTTTTTTTTTCTTACATTATGCAGGATCAAAGGAGCTTTGCAGGGCTTTTGACCCACCTTCCTTCCTTCGTTCCTTCCTTCCCTCCCCCTCCCTCTCGCTTTTCCCTGTCCCACACACACTATCTGGAGTCAGCACTTCTGCATCTGATGGATCGCAGTGTTAGTGGTTAGCATTAGCGTTAGTATCACAGTCTGAGTTCCTGTAAGAGGTCCATCTCTTTGCCAGCGCTTTCTGCAGTTGTCTTAGCTCCATTTGCGTAAATATATCCCTAGCTGGGTTTTAATGAGCTTGATTTAGAAATGGCCTTTGACCTGAATTTTTATATTTTATTTTATTTTAGGAAAAAGTTATGTGGGTGTTCTTGAATATTTTATACATTTTGCAAGTTTGTGTTGAATGCAGCTGTCATTTTTGGATAAATCCAAAGTTCTTGTCATGTTAACCTTTCATATATGTTGTTTATTGGCATTTCTCAACCTGGTCATTTTTGGGTTTTTTTTGTGAATGACTATGCTCTCTCACCATGTACCCTGACATATGTAACTAATATCTCTCCCTCTCTTTTTTCTTTTTTCTGTTTCCTCTTTTTCTCTTCAGACCTTTATAGTGCTTAACAGAGGAAAAACTATCTTCCGTTTCAGTGCCACGCCCTCGTTATATATCATTAGTCCTTTTAACCTATTCAGGCAAATAGCAATTAAAATTTTGATACACTCATATCCTTTTCAGTGCTCCAAATATTGTCCATGTTATTAATGATTGTTCTTGTTGAAACTGTTTTCTAATCTGTGCTTAGCCTGTCTGTCTGAAATATGAGAACAATGCTTTGTTGCATTTGTAGGTTTTATCAAATGTATAAATGACAAATTATCAGTTACACCCTATTATCTGTATCATAGTGCATAATTTAACTATTTTACTTAAATGTTCTGGAAAAAAGAGAGTTCTGAATTGTGCTGTGACACAGACAGTGATTTAAAGACCATTAATCATGTCGAGGCTAACAACATACTTCTTCCTTATGGAAAATAGTAAATGCATATGTCCTCAACCAACAATTTTTTGTGTGACCCCAGATTTTACTACATAATTTTATGAAATTATTCACATTTTTATTAATGTCCCTATTTCCATTATAGTTTTGATATCTGATGAATATTTAGACATTACCACAGGATTTCCTTAACTACTTCTTACACTTTTCAGCATGATCATCATGTGTACAATTTTGACAAATTGTGTCTTCATGACATTCAGCAATCCTCCAGAATGGTCCAAACAAGTAGAGTAAGTATTCTAATCTATTCTATTGTATTCTAGTCTATTCTAGTCTTGTCTCATCTAGTCTATGCAGATTTTCTTCATCAAATGTGATTGAAAATTTTTTTGTGATTTATGTGCACAGATATAATAATAACAGCAGTATAGCAAAAAGGGATAAAAGCCAAAGGTCAGAAATTTAAACTCTGAGCACCAACCACTCCAGTGTGAGTGCTGAAAAGCAGGGCATATAATGTTAGTAGAGTGACAAGTTAATGACTGGTTAGGACGGAGGAAGGCTAAGGACAATGTAAGCTCCACTTAGAAATTTGGCCAGTCCTAATAATTGCTGGGTCTATTTTGGGGTAACTGAGGGAAATGGAGTTTCATGGGAGTCCTTAATCAATGGTAAGCTCTGTTCCAAATCTCTGCTCTGTTCCTGATCCCATTGTGACAAGCACCGTGGGTGAGGGCGAGAGAAATATTAGTTAAACAAACCATATTTCATTTAATAATGAAAAGTATCAATTAAAATTTAAATTACAAACACACACTTATTTATTTGCATTCTTTTTTTGAACTCTGTTAGATACACTTTCACAGGAATCTACACTTTCGAGTCACTCACAAAGATTGTGGCTCGAGGTTTTTGTATAGATGGCTTCACCTTCCTCAGAGACCCTTGGAACTGGCTGGATTTTATGGTCATCTCTATGGCGTAAGTATAATCCTGTTTTAATTCAAACATTAATGAAACATTTAGATAATGTTGCATTCAAAATATGTTATGCATGCAATGATTACAGGTGTGTAACTCTTGTGTGCAGCATTGACTTTTAGGCTATAGAGGAGCTTTAGTTGGTGCCAACTAAGCAGTGGAGCAATATTATTAGGTAAAATTATTAGAAAATAAATAAATAAATAAAAACACTGTTTTCCATCCTTTTCCTCTTTGCAGCTATTTGAAATGGACTCTTTGATTCGATGTGGGAGCTTTTTTATTTGCACCCACATCGAATCAAGCTTCTCCACTTATTTTAGGGTAATTTTAGACTAACTTAAAGGGATAATTCACCCCAAAATGAAAATTCTGTCATTAATTACGCACCCTCATGTTGTTCCAAAACCGTAAGACCTCTGTTCATCTTCAGAACACAGATTAAGATATTTTTGATGGAATCTGAGAGCTCCCTGGCCCTCCGTAGACAGCACACAACTGAAATGTTCCCAGGTCCAGAAACGTAGTAAGGACATCAGTAAAACAGTCCATGTGACATCAGTGGCTCAACTTCAATTTTGAGAAGCTACAAGAATACTTTTTGTGCGCAAAGAAATAAAAAATAACATAATTTGTTTAAAGGGGTCATATGACGTTGCTAAAAAGAACATTATGTTGTGTATTTGGTGTAATGCAATGTGTTTATGCGGTTTAAGGTTAAAAAAACACATTATTTTCCACATCCTGTACATTATTGTTTCTCCTCTATGCCCCACCTTTCTGAAGCGCGTCGATTTTTACAAAGCTCATCGTTCTAAAAAAGCGAGGTGTGCTCTGATTGGCCAGCTATCCAGTGCATTGTGATTGGCCGAATACCTCAAGCATGTGAC